TTGTTTCGTTGATGTTTTAGAGTTATAGGATTGGGTGTTGATAAGTCTTCGTAAAGCACCGACACGGTTTGCGATGGATTGAAGTGTGGAGCCTGATGGGGCCAGCTTCACCTTGCATTGCTGGTCTCGCGCATTTCAGGGCCGGGGGTCTTGTCGTTGAAGGTCACTACTAGGGATCACTGCCAAGGTTCCTCAGTAGCATTATTGTAGGGGTACCCCACTTCCTACTATTCGGTTTTGACAAAGGGGACTCAGAAAAAGTTGCAAAAGGATACCACTGGGAAGCCAGATGCTGAACACACCCTAAACCTAAACCCAAAACCGCGGGAACCTCCATTAATGTAAACACTCCCCGACCTTTTCGGGTTACCAGGACGTGTCTCGAGACGACCACTCTTTTAGGAAGTTTTCCAGGAGAGCCACAGGTTTTTCAACTCCTGAAGCAAGATGCGCCCCAGAAACAGAGAGAGGCAGGTACCGTCACCTTCGCCAGAAGTGTCTGCAGCGTACTCAAGCGATATGCCTGAGCACAGAACTAACATGTCATGCAGCAAAAGAAGGCATCTTCGTATACCAAAGGTGTAGTGTATTCGCATGCGATCCTTGACCATGAAATACTCAGCTGTGAGGGCTGGGACTTCAGTGGTGACGCACGGTGTTGCTCCACAGTGGTCACTCCAATCTTTGGGGCAGTTTGTGCCACCTTGGCTGTCGCAGAGGCCTGGTAGCAGCAAGACACAGACTTTTGAAGTTCCGCGGCACATCCTAAATCTCCAGCCCCTAAGACAGAAAATTCCTGAAATACCTATAAACCTGCCGCGCTCTGATTCTCTGAACACATTCTTTAAGGGGATCTCCCAGAACACACATCCCATACTGCCTGTACTAGGCCTATCTATGGTCCTTGGGTTTGTCGCCTATGAAATCATGCTTTTGTTTCATCTTCCTGTCTAAGATGACCTATATTGCCTAGGTAGCTGAAGCTGTGAGTCAAGCTTGGGCAACCACTGCTCTGTTGGCTCGTTAGGACTAGGATTTGGGACGGGTGCTTGCGGTTTATGGTTTTGGGGCTTAGGGGTTTAGGATGCAAAGTGTGCTTGCCCGCTTTGCGAGGGCACTAACTCCGTAAACTCAATCCAAAGCGACGAAGCCGGCGGGGAGTTCTACAATACTTCAATAGGTATCGTGGTATTGCCCGCTAGACCCCTGGAGTGATTCGGAGATATGGTCCCGGGCTTTTATGCTGAAGAGTATAAGGCCCTCAGTCAGTTTAAAAACCAGGGACCCCTCAGTTAGAGAACCTCCCAGGACATCTCGATAAACATCTTACATCTGTGCAAACCTTTCCCGAAAAACTCAACCATTAATTAGCCCTTAACCTAAGCCGGGCCACACGAGTGCCGGATGTAGTGTCGCCCGATGCACAGTAGCCTCAAAGCTGCGAGTGTCTGGTTCCGTTTTTTTTGCCAAACTTGCTTACTCGGATCTCATACGCTTACAACAAATTATCCCAAGGCTTTTCCAACACCTAAAGAGCGGTTGTAAGAGGGATTCCTTTGAGGTGCGTACCAGCGTTATTACAAGGCTTTCACATTTCGAGGTGTAGGCGGGGTCCCCTAAACCTTGAACCCTAAACTGCCTGCAACTGGCCATGCCATCACAACCTCTGCATGAACTCCAGCTCGGCACATAATAACACAAACTTCCCTAAACCCTGAACCTTGACCCTCTCAACCGGAAGCAGACTCGCAGCTTTCGTAACTGCGAAACCTCAGCTGCAAAGTCAATAATAAGGAGTACGTATGGTTTAGGGTTTAGGGTTTATACAACTAGTCGTCTGAATTATTGAGGCCTCTATACTAAGCACCAAGCTGGACCGATGCTGCACAACCGAGGCCGAAGACATCTGGTTCTTGGCTCCCGGGCCAAGCTTGCCAGCGTATCCGGTGGGATAGTCGGTGTATCCTAAGCAAAACATCTCCATGTACAAAACAGTAGGTTCTATAGACATTTATTTGCCCTTATAAACCCTACACCGTAAAGCCTAGACCCTAAAGGCCGTAAACCCTACGAGCGTATAATATGCCGTCAGTGTTACTGAAACCCGTTGGCTCAGTTGGAACTTCGATTGATTTAAACAGAAATGCGTGATGACGACTCTCTGGATGAGGTTTGGGTTAGAGTACCTGAGGGCCTAGGGCAACGAATCGTAAATCTCAACACATCTCAGCACGGGAGCATTATTTCGTGACCGGAAACCACGGCTGCAGGAGGGTCGTTGGATAGTTTGTTGCTCGATGCTACATATATATATATATTTATAAATAAATAAATATAAATATATATATATATATATATATATATTGAGGTTGCCTGCCTGCTTCAGCCTTTCCCGATGCCGATAGGGGCCTTGCAGAAGCCTGAAAACCCCTTTCTGCAATGCGTTTCCTACACTTCGGCAATCCCAAAGCAGAAAGTTCAGGTACACCCCAAGCCAGTCATGAACCCGCTGAACAGCGGCCTTGGAAACCAGATTTCCGAGACTTTGAGAACCCTTGCTTAGTATATTAAGGGCTTCCTGCAAGGGTACCCTGAATCCTAAACCCTCAACTCTAAATATAGAGGTAAGTATACACTATACAGGCACATGGAGCCTGATGGCCGTTATGCTCGCTCAAGGATTCAGGCCGCAGGCAAGTTCACGGAAGTGTCGACTGTGGAGCCCTAAGCAACACCCTGCTCTATGTATCCAGTTAGGTGGCTGTCAGAATTATGGCCCCTTTTTGGGCTCTTATATTAATACGGAACCTAATATTTAGGGTTCCCAATAAGGGACCCTAATTTTGACAACCACCCAATAGAATCATTGAGGTCCTATTGTTGATGGACAATGACTCTACTACAACAATACTAGCAATATGCCCCAAAACCCTGCGCTGTTCGTTAGAACCATTATAATGATGAAGACCCCTGAATTTTCTTTAAAAACTACACTCCTGAAACAAAAATACAGCATCAAAACTCAAAACTTCTCAGAACACGAGAAGTCTCTGCCTTTCCAGAGCTGAGGCCCCACACGCAGGGAGGAGGCTGTCATGCCTAGCCGCCTTACCGGCCAGTACCAGGTACCTCTACGGGAGTTTCCGAAAATTAGGGGTACCTTATTTGGGGGTCCTTATAATAAGGATCCTACTATTTAGGGTACTACCTCAGGGTCCCCTATTTTCGGCAACTCCCATCTGGGGGTTTTGTGGAAGTTTCTAGGATAACGGGTTTTGGAGTTTAGGGCTACCTTGGTGGGTTGTGTGAGTGAGACTCGGCATCTTCAGGCTTTGGACCGGTGGGTTTAGGCAAGGTTTGGGCTTCTGGGAGGTGACATCTTTGCACGCATCTCAGGTGCAAGCGTACACCTGGAGCTGAAGCTTGACAAGTACGAGGTGGAGCATCTTCTGATGTACTCAAAAACAAGCCAAATCTCTCGGCACGGTCGTGTTTCCAAAAGCAGTGAACCCAGCAACAAACTCTCTTGCGCTAACCACTAAGTTCTTGAAGCCTCCAGAAAAACTTTCCGGTTGAGGGTTTGAGGATGATATGGGGGTTTCCGAAAATAGGGGACCTTAACATAGTACCCTAAATAGTAGGATGCTTTTTATAAGGTAGTCGGACACAAGGTCATAACCAGAAAATAAGGTACCCCGAATTTTCGGAAGCTCCCATATGGTTTTGGCCGAAGGATGGCTGGGGAGCAGGATCGGATCAAGGGGCTTACGAGCAAAGGATTGAGAGACTGCGGCGCAAGGGCAGCGAACGGGTTTAAGGATTTAAATCCTGCATAACCCATAATAAGGAATATATGGGGAGTATAGCCAGGATCACCCCTAATCAGGATTATATGGGAATTATAGCCAGGATCTACAGGACCCTGCTGCTGCAGGCTCTATGTACGACCTACTTGCACGAACAGCTTGATCAACGTAATCTGGGCTTTAGACCTTCTGTAAACAAGATCCGCAGACTGCAAGCTTCAACCCGCATCTATATAACGCAAGCCTCGCGAATCATGAAACATCTCCTGAACCCGAAAGCCCCCGAAATCCCAATTAAAGCCCCAGGAAGCCAGCAGAAACCGGGGGCACCGTTGTGACTCACCGTCGGAAAGCCCACCGCGAGGTCGGCCTTCAAGTGGGGAGGTAGACGGTCAGGGTATGATTAGGGCTTAAGGTTTAGGGCTTAGTTAGAAATTCTTGAGTTTAGGGTTAGGGGTTTACTCATAATCGGAAACCCGAACTAGACACCCTAAAGCCTCAACACGATCAGTCATCATTCGGGCTTCCATGCTAGCCGGTCCCCGAAGCTGAACCCAAGTTCGCAAGCCGTAAGTCGGATCCCATCCACAACGGTTTAGGCTTTAGGGTTTGGGCTTTAGGGTTTAGGGTTTAGAGTTTAGGGTTTAGGATTTAGGAAACACGAGCCCCCAACCCAAAGCATCCCAAGACCCGACCCCCGAACCCCTAAAGCCCCAAACCCCAAAGCTACAATTTGAAACCCCAAATCCCAAGCGTCAAAACTCTTCAGCCTTAATCCCAAAGCCCCCAAATTCTATTCTAAACGATCTGAACTCCTCAAGCTCTACATGCATCATCAAACCTCACCAAAACCTTCCCGACTCGCGTCCTGTTCTCGGCTGGCCAACTGGAGGCCGTCGGCGATGGAAGTCATGTGTGCCTCGCTGTGGCCGGCTTCACTTGCGCCGTTAAGTAAGTAAGGGTTGGAGTATTTCGGACTTAAACCCTACTGACAGCTTCAAGAAGGATTATAGCTGCCACTGGTAGCTAAAACCCTTATCCTAAGACCCTACAGCTGCAAGCACACCGGCCTTTTGGTCGCTCGAACACATGTGCCTGCGAGCAGCAGGTGCGTCGACAGCTCCAAGACCTGCCGCAAAACTTCAGGCTTACACTGCTCAAAAATCCTCCCCATCACCAGGGAAAAGCCCTCTTTTAAGAGGAAGTGTGATGCCCTCTTTCAGGGTTTTTCCACCACACGTCTGTACGCATCGGCTTGGTGAGGGGGTCTGCAAGTTGCATGGCCGTCGGTATCCACTGGAGGGGCAGTCGACTTCCCCACCGCTCGAAACGAAGTTCTTGACGAAGAGCAGCCAAGTCTATTGCGAGCCGACGGTCTGCGGGTAGGCGAGGGGTTCCAGCCTTGTGGAGGTGGTCGTGTAATGACTTGCAATCCGACAAGCAGAGGATAGGCCACTTCCCGCGGATCTCCTCGTGCTTCACCAATCGCCCACATAGCAGAGAGCCACGTAGGGCCCGCATGTATTGGCCCCCTTCCAAGCCTTCGACAGCCGACATAGTCTCGGCCCCGAAGGTTGACCTGCAAACTCGTTTGCAGGACTGGCTCCTCCATTCCAGTAGGCTGGCCTTGCACGTATGGCCATTGACGATCCCGCGGTCGGACAGTAGGATGAGATGTCCGAGCTGCGACGCAACCTTCGACGACCCTCGCTTCGGCTTGCGAGGGCGAGCATCGCTGTAGAATCCATGGATCGACGAACCGGACGTCCTCTGTAAGCGGTGCCCTTTGGAGCTGCTGGGACAATGCAACTCCGCAAAGAAGATCTGGGCGGCTCTGGCTGCTCAGCCAGCTCAGCCAGCTCAATGCACCAAGAAGAGAGCGGTTGTCAATCGTCTGCTCTTCAGTCGCTGGGTCCGTGCCCCTCTGAGCTCTGGGCACATCTACAGAGAACAGCCGCCCGTCGGCGAAGCCAGCCTGAGTGATGCTCACGCCATCATCGTCGACTTTGATGAATGACCCGACGTACTCAAAGCTGTCCTCCAGCCAACCGTCAATGGGGAACAGCTGGTTGATCCGCCCTTGAAGCATTCGGTTGATCTCCGTGGGGGCGAGGACGAGGATGTCGTCCACGTGCATGGCGAGATAGCCCTTTGGTTCCCCGGGTTGGCCGTTCTCAAGCAACATCATCACACAGGGGTCCAGCGGACTTGGAACGAGCCGATGGGGTACTCCATGAAGGTCGAAGACTTCGCCAAGCAGGACGCTGGACAACCGGTCGTACCACATCCGAGGACTCTCTGAGAGTCCAAAAACTCCTTTCCGGATCCGGGCGATTTGCCGCGGGTCCAGGCCTTGTATCCCAGACTTTGGCTGTGCCACCCATAGCCTCCGGGACAGTTCGACTCCCTGCAGGAACGCAGCTTGAACATCACCAGCTGCAGCCTTCCACCGCTTGGAGGCACATATCTGTAAAAGCGAGATCAAGGAAGCTCGTGACACGGTTGGGCTGTCAACGGCAATGTCCGCGATGCCGACGTCAGGATCTTGATGTCCTCCGACTACCAGCCTGGATTTTGGCTTCCACGGCGTGTCTGGGTTGGCACGGCGACGGCCGAGGTGTTTGTCGCGGTAGGCGAACCGCGAAGTGAGTATCCGGCTTGGGTGTTCTGTTCTCCGGACTTCTTCACTTTCTTGAACACTTAGCACCTCTAGCGCCCCGGTGTCCACATGCTCATTCCACTGGACCATCTCTTTCTCACGGAAGGCCGGGCGCATGAAGTCCGGGATCATGTTCCATGGCATCTCCTTCTCCAACTGTTTCTCTCTGGAACGTGGGGTCTTGGCCTTCTTGATCATGTGGACCGCGTTCACCCCATCGTCGGCTAGCGCCTCCTCGCCGCGGCCCTTGCGTCGTTGCCTCTTCAGGACACGAGGGGGTACGCGGACCAGATCTCGTCGTAGTCCGCGTCTCTCCTCGGGCTCCTCCTCCATGTCAAACGCAACCTCCCCGATGCCGCCCGCCTCGATGTTGACCATCTCTTCGTCCTCGCCGCCATCGTCTCCATCGAACACTCCGGGGGCGTCCGAGTCAGCATTCAGCAGCCTGTCCAAGTCCTCTTGGGCGACCCGCATACTGAAGGCTTGGCCAAGTTCTTCAGCAGTCGCCAATCGAACATGTTCGGGAGCGCAAAGGACGCACCTGCCAGCGCGGGTGACCCAGAGGTTGTAGCCATCCCTTCCGATCACGGTACCAGGGCCGATCCAGCACCCCTTCTTGTTGTTCTTGGTCTTCCTGTAGTAGAAGACCCGCTCCCCGCATTCAGGAACTCGATCCTCGACACGAGCACGGCCAGCAAGAGCACGGCGAACTCGTTCGTCGGTCTGGACGTGGAAGTAGGCAGAACGCGCAGCAGTCCTGAGGGCAACCTCGCGGGCGTGCTTGTCGTCAACGATGATGGCATCTTCGGGATCTCCAGCATGGGGTCCTTCCAGTAGGTCTTCAGGTAGGCCGGGTGCCGAGCCGAAAACATGCTGGCTTGGGCTAAAACCACTGATGCGCGTCAGCTGGTTCTTTGCCGTGGAAACAGCGCCGACTGCAAGGTGGAAGTCAGCTTGGCATACCGAGCACTCCTCACAGATCCGGCTGAATACTGCTTTCCAGACGGCGCCCTGGCGTTCAACAAAGCCGGCCTGATGATGCGCCTGTCCGGCGGCGCTGCGGATCTTGGTGCCGGTCCAATCGCCTATGCGGGCCAAAGACTTCTCCAACCCGTTCTCCAAATCGACAGCGACGACAGAAGGCGCCCCGAACACCTGGATCCAGCTAGCACAAAACGCTTTCTCAAGCGTCGCTGTGTCCTTCTTTGCGACGGGCACAACGACCTGGTACGCAGAGGAGAAGTCGACAATGGAGAGCAGCTGGTGACGCCGGCCTTCGCTGTCGTGAACATAGAACAAATCGGTCCCGACCATCTCATTGCAGCGGTAGCATGGGGCGATCTTGGCCGGTTTTGGAATAGCCGGATGCTTGGTCCTTGCACAGACCTGGCACTCGAGAGAACGAGCTGCCTTAAGCACGTCCCGGGAGGCCCCAGCGAGTCGTAGATGCCGCACAAAGTCGGTGGTGCTGGGATGCCCGAGGTTCTGGTGGAGCCGTCGTAAGCTTGAGGCGATGGTCTCTGAAACACTTGGGGGAAACGATATAGCTTGTGCTCCCCTGGGAATCGGTGCGGTGTCCTCCTGGCCCTCCGGGTCAAGGCTCACAGGCAGCAGTTCCTCGTCGGTCTCATTCTCGCCGAGGTACACGGTGTGCGCGTAGTTCTCCGGTGCCGCCTGAATCACGCGCAGGTACTGGTGGCCGTCCTCGGTGAAGTCGTAGGAAACCTCGTAGCCCGCATCCTCCCAGCCGTTGGTCAAACCGTCCCATAAAGTAGGGTCCTCGACCTCCTTTTCGAAAACCACAGCCCGTCCCTCTCCGAGTTGGTAGCTCACGGCCTCGACGAGGTCGTTGTAGACGTTGGTCTGTCCCCATTCGGGCCGCATGTGGATCCAGAGTTGCCCTGGCTGGTGCCGCATACTCATCGCCTCAATGTAGCCGATGCCAAGTTCCTGCGGGTGGTCGTTGTAGAGCACGTCCTCGGTGAGCAGGGGTTCAAGAAGGTGTTGGTCGCACACCCCATACTCAGCGAGGCGACAAGTGGCAGAGAGTCCGCCCACCTCCAAGAGCGCTGTCTCCGGAGTGCTTCGGAAGGGTAAGACAGCTTGGGCCGCACCGTGCATGGTGGATAGGGCGGTCGTGAAGAGGACCGAAAGCATCATTGCCGCCCGTCTCAAATTCTTCCTTTGGCTCCGGATAGGCTTGGAAGAAGGCGAAGCGTGGCCTTCGTCCTTGGGGTTGTTCTCTTCTCCAGGAGGTAGTAGATCACGTTTCCTGATGTCTCGGAGCTCCGCCTTGGTGGGCGCCGGGAAGCCGAGGTCGTGGAGGATCTTCTTCTCCTGCTTTGTGGCCTCAGGAAAGGTGCGGGGTGTGTATCCCGCCAGAAACCACCGTTCTCCGACAAAAGGTTCTGTCGCATGCAGGAGCCGAGGATCAAACTGCCACCCTTGTTTGTGGATGTCACAAACCCGGCCTTCAACCTCTTGCCCGTTATTGTTGCGGCGCCAGGTGCCGCCACCGGGCTCTTGGATCCAAAGGCCTCCCCCATTGCCGCTGCTGGCTGCCCTTCAAGTTGTTCTTGTCGGTGTGCACGGCAGTGGGGCAGTTCCCGAGGAGAGCTAAGGAAGTCCAGATGGCCCTTGGTTGGTCTGGTCCGGCGGGTCCAGAACACTCAGCAAGCAGACCATTCAGGAAACGAGTCAGCATGGGCCACGTAGTCGTCTTTCGGCTGATCCCTTTGAAGGTCCCATAGGCGTAGTACCCAAGGTTACAGCGTCCGCCTACATCGGGATCTCCATGAAGTTGATCACGACGGTGATTGGAAGGCTTCAAGTTGTACTCCTGGAGGATCTTGGTCGCGGTGTCGAACGAGAAATCCCCAGCCTCCAGAGCGGCTCGGGCAAGGGCTTCTCCGGGGTGATCCTGAGCGTTGCCGCGGGCACAATGGCGCGCCGTGAGGACCTCGCCAGTCGAGTCCTCCGAACCAGAGGAACACGACTCAAAATCTTCACAGAGCTCGTGGTGCTTGACGTGTGCCCCGTCGGGGCTAGCATCTGCCCAATTGCCGTAGGTGCCCATAGGAACTCCCGGTCTCGCTCACCGGGGGCGGGGTCACCATCGCGTAGGTCTCCACGTCCAGGTAGCTCGGCGCCGTAGGCTCCACCACTGAACTCGCCGATCCCTTTGCCCGGCTCCGCCGATGGCGACGCCACTGCACAAACCTCTTGAGGTCGTTGTGCATGTTGTCCCCGTTTCGTCGTTCCTCTTCCGAGGCCCAGTCGCCGTAGTTCTCGGGGATCTGAGCAAACGTCGTCCCGCGAAACCGTCCGATCGTCATCACAGTGTCCGACGGTGCCCCGGCATCGCGTATGCGGAGCATGAGACTCCCCTTGGTGTCGTTGGTGCGCACCTCCAACTCCATCTTCATCGCTTCGTCCTTCAGCTCCTGGAGCGACATCGAGGAGAGCCCCTTGGGGACCGCTTGTCCTTTGTTCTTCGTCTCGAACTCCTTGTCCGCCAGGATCACCGTGCGCAACTCGGGGCATGTCCACTTCTCCCCGATAGCCAGTCCTCGGCGGCGGCATTCTTCCATGAGTTGCGACTTGTTCATCTTCCATACCGGCAGCATGGCACACAGGGGGATCAAGAGGTACAGCTTGAGACCTGTTAAAGACGCTTCGGCCGGCCCACAAAGTTGGGTACTCGCCTGTCTCCTTGCTGGTCCACTGCTCGGTGACGACAGACAGCATGCGACGTGACAGACAGCCAACTCCCCAAGTCTCCCTGATGCTTCCGAGCTGGCTCAAGAGAAGGTCACGTAGGTGAGTTTGACTGGTTTCCCACTTTCTAGGATCAAAGAACTTTCGCCGGGGAGTAACATGAACGCGAACTAGTTTGTGGGGTCGTTCAATCCAGAAGTCGCTAGTGATCTCAGTACTGGCCCACCAAGTAGCAAACAACTCCTCGTTCAGCACATCATCCGTCAGCATGTCTTTTACAGCACTATCTAACTTCTTGTCGTAGAAGATCTTTGGTACGCCGCTATCATCACCAGGACATACATGATCATCGCCCAAAGCCCCACTGCAAGCCGTCATATACACCTCACGGGGACGAACAATTGCAACACCGTGCGGCTCCCAATGGTCAGGGAAGCATGAAGTGTCAGGCTTTGCCAGCTTGGAGTGATCTACAACGATGGCCGGGTGCCCACTCGCCGTCTCACACAACTGGACTTCGCCGTCCTGTAGCGCCCGGAACGTGGCAGCATTGTTCCCGAGGTCGAGGATGAGCCCGAGGCGAGAGAGGGCCGGCTTGGACATCAATAATGGAATGTCCCCGTGGATCACCGCGGCCTTGACCGCGACGATGTGCTCGAACATCGGAACCAAGATCACCGCCGCGTAGGTAGACTCATAGATCCTGCTGGCAGCGCCAAAACGGAAGCTCTCTTTCTCGTAGACAAAGATGACGTCGTAGCCGCTGTCCTTGACGTAGTCCAGGTACTTCTGTAACCAAGCCGTTCCAACGACGGTCTTAGAACAGGCTGAGTCCAGAATGGCCTGGAGTCCCCCGCTGACGCCGGCCACAAGCTCGTAGACCTCGTTGGTGACGTGGATGGTTTGCGTCTGACCGCCTGTAGTTCCAGACTTCCCGCCCGGGTGCTTTGGGCAAATGGTGTCCTTATGCCAATGCCCCTTCTGCCCACAAGCGGAGCAGTGCGACTTCGATTTGGCGAGCTGGATCTTCGCCTCGGCAGCTTTCCTGATGGCACTGGCATCAGCATCCTTCTCCGTCCCCTTGTAGTCGATGCCCCTAGCCTTGGCGACCTCCTTGTAGCGAGCCTTAGCCGTCATTTTGGAGAGGTAGAGCTCCTCAGAGTGGCCCGCCGGATCGTCGAGGAGCGGCTCTTCGACCTCGGAGTCGGAGTTCATCTCAACATCCTCTGTCTGGTTGACGCTTTGAGTTCTCGGCTTGAATCCAGTCTTCTCCCAGGGCTTTCGCATGGAGCGGTCCAAAACAATGGCGGCAGACTGCAGAGCCTTCAGGGCGTACTTGTTGCCGACGCTCGCGAGAAGGCTCACCTCGGTGGACTCGTCCAAGTTCGCCCGGTCCACGAACAGCCAGGCATTGGCTACGTCTGGTAAAGCACAACCGCACTCCAGAACCCGAGCCAAAAGCCTATTAAACTCAGCAGCATAATCCCTAAAACTTTGCTGGGGTCGCCGGCGTAGCTTCCTGAACAGATCGCTCAAAGAGCGGCCAACCTGAGTCACCTCGACATCCAGGTAGTGCTGGCGGATCCATTCTCGAAGGCGATCGACTCCATCAGGACGGGCCAGCTCCTCAACGTTCAGGGATTCAGAGTTGACCCATGCAGATCCAGACAAGTGCTGGTAGAGCACCAGGGCCCGTTCATCAGGGGCTAGTTTGGTCATCTTCTCCCAAGCGCTGACTTGCCTCAGGTAGCTCCTTGCCGACGTACCAAGGTCACCATTGCCTTCCGACTCCCCGGTGAATGTCGGCACTATGAGCCGCTCAGATGGCCCTTTGCTCCCATTGTAGGCAGGGTAGTCCGGCTTGTAGGTCGCAGGAGCCGGGGTGCTTGCGCCCTGATGACGCGCAGAGTCCCATCCCGACTGCCATCCGTCCCACGATCCCGCCGTAGGTCTTCCGGCCGACCAGGTCGTTGATGGATCCCCGAACCTCTCCCAGGTACTCGAAGATGTGCCGGTCCATGTAGCCGGCGGACCCCCGGAGGTACCTGTAGTCCCGGTAGTAGCGCTGTGCCCGGATGGCCATCGTCGCCAGTGGCCCCAATCGCCGTTATCTCGCCACGTGGAATCCCTTCCGCCCCAGCTTCCAGAGTTCCACGTGGACCACGACCAGCTCGATGTGTCGCTGCCCCCATCTTGGGAGCCCCAATTGTCCCAGCGAGACTGCCAGGAATCCCAGTCCTCCCGCGTCCAAGGCCGGGTCGCCTCTGTGGCGTCCGGCTCCCTGCTTCCTTGGACATCCCAGGACTGCTCATCATTGACAGGAGGTTGCTGCGCAGTTGGTGCGTGATCGGTCTCAGCAGCGGCGTCCACCACAGGTGCGCTGCTGCCGCCCCAAGGGTCAGCCACAGACCACGGATCTGCAGCTTCGTCGTTAGCCATGGAACGCACGGGCTCCGCTACCAGTGACAGCTTCAAGAAGGATTATAGCTGCCACTGGTAGCTAAAACCCTTATCCTAAGACCCTACAGCTGCAGGCACACCGGCCTTTTGGTCGCTCGAACACATGTGCCTGCGAGCAGCAGGTGCGTCGACAGCTCCAAGACCTGCCGCAAAACTTCAGGCTTACACCTACACCCCAGACCCCCATAAACGGAGTCTGATATAGGGGCCTTATAGTCAGAATAAGGTTTTCGGCTCCTTTATACTACAATCAAACAAGCCCTAAGTAACAACATAGGTAAATACTTTGATATGCTATCAGCCCTTTGGCTTTCATGAGTTGGGGATTTCAGGAATTTGGGGCTGTGGTTTGAGGCTTCAGTGGGCTGGAAATTCTAGGCGTCAGGCCTCGCGACTCAAGGGCCCTCTACTTAAAGGATCATGGGACTTAGTAATAGCAACTGGAGTCATAATTGAGGTGCTTTTTTGTCAAACTACTTATAACCCCAACTAAAGTACTTATGGACACATAGCTAAGTCCCACGATCGTCGAAGTAACGCTCTGTGGAATGAAGGAACGCAAAGAGCCGACCATTACAGTGAAAAAGCCTCAATTCCTCGGCCCTTAACCCAAAACTCCTGCTCCCAGGGACCCAACATCCTGAACCCACCTCCGGAACAACAAGCCTTGACACTCCTAAGTAGCGAAAAGCTTACAACCCTCAAACACTAAAACCCCAAACCCGAGATTCGTAAGCCCTGAAACTCGAAGTAAACGGATGCTGCTGCACAAGAAACAACGGGCCGATGATGCTCGTGATGCTGTCCCCAGTGTGCGCGGCCTATGCTCCTGCCTCAACCCAGCACTTTCGGATAATATATAGTTAGGAGCCTTGACAATTGCAAGGGTTCTGGGGTATACCATCGTAGGAACGGCATCAGGAACCCGGCTTTTGGCTAAACATCACTATTCCTTATGACTTTCTTTGTCGGAGTCCTCGGAGGTCCCTAAACCCTAAACCCCTAACTGAACTCTAAGCCGCTTCATGATGATTTGCAGCCTCGGGCAGTCTCTGCAACCCTCAAACCGTAAGCCCCGAATTCCTTTTAAGGGTTTCAGTAGGCTTTAGGGAGCTTGGGGTTCAGGTGTGGGGTTTGGAGTTTGCGGTGTATGGTTTGAGGTTTAGGGTTTCGGATGTAGGGTTTAAAGTTTGGGGTGTGGGGTTTAGGGTAAACGCCTACAGACCCCGAAAGCACCCTAGCCCTCTTAAGTCGGTCAAGAGGCTGTCCAGTTCAGGGAAGGATTGAGAAGAAGGACCCACCTGCTTCGGAATGCAGGGATCAGGGTTTATGGATTTGGAGGCCGGAGTTGTTTCAGCATCCTGGGGTGCTTCGTCTATGCCCTCCGTTGTGCGCACGGTGTTGACTAGATGCACCTGTGTATGCTCAGCCAGGTTTCAGTGTGTGGGGGTTTAGGGGTTTCGGTGGATTCTCAGGCTTTTGCATGATCTGCAGATTCAGGGCACAGGCCGGGGAATCAAAGGGGCCTAGATTTCTGGTTTCCGAAACTTCGGGGTACCTGTTGCTTTGGGGTCCTTATAATAAGGATCCTACTATTTAGGGTACATATTATAGGGTCTGTATTAGGCACTTCGGGATGAGGGAGTTTCAGGCAACTGGGGCCCCCAACAAGCCCATCATAACTAGAAGGCTCTGCAATACACGGACCACTCAAACATCCAGCCTACATTGGCGTGTACTGTATACTGATATTACAGAACCCTGTGGAACAGTAAAGCACTGTTGATGATGTAAATCCTGCATTACCTTAAGGACCCTAGACTATGGGATTCATGGTATATCCCTTATTATGGGTAATGCAGGATTTGCATCATCAACCGTGGTACAAGTAATTATCCAGGCTTCTGTACGTTTGCAGCTGCCTCACTTCTTGTGCAAGGCTTTCATCTTGAGTTCGGTCCCTCCGTCAGATCGCGAAAGCCAAACTCCAGAGAACACCAACATGGACCTCGAAAACCTTTGACCTACCAAAACCTACTTTTCCGTCGGGTCCCTGTATGAAGTCCGTATTCAGGCTTTTTGATTCTACTTAGAACCGATGATTGTCCAGCATCTTCGGGGAACTAAAGGTAAATGACTTCGTTTTTGGGATACTCTAGGAGTTATCGTACAGCCGATTCTAGGAGAGTTAAACTGCAGAAAAATGTTAGAGGTTGCAGGACAATGTGGGCCTAAATCATTACCTATACTATTGTGGGGGTTCCTTACTAGATCAATATAGTATAATGGGCCCCAAGACATAATTCTAACTACTAAGGCCCCTATATTGCAGCAAAACTGCTAGAGGTTACCTACTCTACTACTCACTCAAGGTAAACTTGATGAAGATCCGACACCTTCAACTGTGTTCCCGAGTAGCCCTTCTCTGATAAGGGTACCCTTTTTCGGCTTTAATAGGCTCTCTTCTTCAACAACCGGGGCGCAAAAAAGTTCAGACTTTCTAAGACAGAGCAAAAATATATTAAAGTTCCCTCGTTCACTATCTAAGTAGAGGGATCCGAAAAGACAAAGTGGCAAAAGGGTACCACTCAGAACCGGGTCAACGGCGACTGCTAAAGCAAAGCCGGCCTCTGACGACTGCCTGTGGCCTCTGCCACGGTTTTCCTGGAATCTGCGTTCGGTGTTTGAGGGCTTAGATGTCTAGGTTTCGGGATTTGGGGTTTGAGTGCAGCTTTAAAAGTGCCCTACTCAGTCGGAGGGTGGGGGGAAGTGGGTTCGAGCCAAGTTTCAGTTTCAGCTCTATAGGAACCAGAGAAAATGCTGAGTTCCCTTGCTCAGCTATCACGCCTCCTTAACCCAAGCATTGCCCTAATAGAATATAGAGTTTTGGTCCCATTGTACCATAACTATAACAAGGAACCCCACAATAGTGTTGGTAGTTACTTGGCTCCTATAATACTTGACAACCGGCAAACGCTGCCGAGCCGGTACTGCAAAACACGTGCTTTATTATAACAACAACACGCGCTGCTGGGTTTGTTGCAGAGCCAGAATCGGAAAAGGTTTGAAAAGCTGCTGGAACCCCAAGGGTCCAAAGGACCCAATAATGAGGTACTCGTTTTTAGGATAGTAGTTATGTAGATTATCATGAGGTCCTTGGACCCTTCGGGGAAGTGTCTTAATTAAAGTTGTTGATTTGGAGGAGCAGCCACACCAGAACAACACACCGCATCCCACGCATCTGTAAGAGGGCACCAAGCGTAATCAAGCTTTCATCTCTCAAACGCAGCCCCGCCGAACGTCCGAATGTAGGGTAATACGTTGTCAAACGACTTATTCCTGAAGCTCCATGCCTGACTTCCGTGCTGTTTGATACCCATCAGACGAACAACTTAAGCCTAAGTCCTGGCAGCAAATACACTAATATTCCAAGTACCCCCTTCTTAATAAACAGGCGTGTGCAAAAAACAGAGCTTGCGCGGTTCTCTCCGTGTAAAAACAGCACTTGCGCACTTCTCTCTATCTTACATATGCATGTCTCTATACATACATATATACATATATGTATACACATGTAGGTGCACACATACACATGCGGCGAAATGTGAAAACGGACATATGTAAGATAAAAGCTATGCGACCACTTCGTTGATTTCCTTTGTTTTCATCACATACCAAACTATACATACATACATGCATGCATACACACATACGTACACCGTACAAACGCATATAATAAACGTGCATACTTACATACGTATACATACATACATACATACGCACGTACATACACACAGAGAGAGAGAGAGAGAGAGAGAGAGCTCGGCTTTGGCCGTTGAGCTTCTGCCAACAATCCTGATGTGCCGAACATAAACTGGATGAGAGGAACCCACAACCTCAACCCAAAAAGCTATGCCAAGAAGATGCTGAGAATTAGGATGGATACTCAAGCCTCATACTTCCTGATTTAATCTCACATTCGGATGTGGTCACCCCCTAAACTTCTGACCCCTGAAAAGCGGAAAAGTCTCCTGACGAAGGCTGCGCAGTCTTCGCCAGAGGCCGAAGCTTTGAAAACCCATTGCCTCGAAGAGTCTCTGTGGCTCTACGGTTGATGATATAAATCCCTACATTTCCTTTAAAGGGATCTATAGGGGTACCTGTAAGGGCTGCCTTTATGGGATCCATTGGATTTGGGGTTTAGGTTGATGATATAAATCCTGCATTACCTTAAAGAACCGAAACCATGGGATTCATGGTATATTCCTTACTATGGACAATGCAGGATTTATATCATCAACAGTAGGACTGGGGTTCCCCGACCTATTTAATACAGGAGCCTTACTAATCAGAATAGGGTTTTGGGGCCCGTTATACTATAATTAGAATAAGGAACCCCTATGTCAGACTGGGCTGTGTAGTAAGTAGGGAGAAGAAAGTGTAAACTTTCATTGTATAAGCGGCGCTCTTGAAGTTCCAGGTCCCAAATGGGAGTTTCCGAGAATAGGGGACCCCAATATGGTAAACAAAATAGTAGAATCCCAAATGTAGTATTAAAGTCTGCTACTCCAAAGCCCACTATAGAGTGAACCCCAGCGAGTTGGAACATGGGTTCAGGAATGATGAGTTCTGGCATTCCCTAGATGCTTTCCCTTGAGGGTCTTGGGGACAATGATGTTCCGACTTTCTGGATTCTACTATCAGTACCTAGAAAGTAGAAAGTAACGTTTCTACCATAGTAGCCCATATAGCCCAAAAGCTCCACGTACCTATATAACTATAAGTATGTACTGAGGCCCCAAAGGGGTTCCTATATAGGTACTTTACAGGCTTTTAAGTATCTGCTATATGGTTGCATGGAGCGTTAGAGTAGGTACTTGGGATCCTTTGTGTTCGGTTTAGGGCTTGGGCTCCGGGTTGAGAGAATCGAGGGCATCTTTGTTGCCAAGACCGTCGACTAAGCAGCCTGCTGCTTTAAGCATCCCGCATGTGACAAATGCGTGGTTGTCAAAACTAGGGTCCCTTTTTGGGTCCCTAAATAATAGGTGCCGTATTATCATAAGGACCCAAAAAGGGACCATCATTTTGACAATCACGAAAATGTTCCTGCAGACGGAAAGCTCAGAAAGACAATGTGCGTATGCAGGTTACAGGCCACTTCTTCTGAACACCAACTGAAGCTTCGCAGAAGTAGGTAACTTTTTTAGGGTCCTTACGATAAGGATCCAACAAGATTGTATCAAAGTTCCTATTGATAGGTGGTACCCACTCTAGACACCAATACATACGCGGTGCAAAGGTCCCTCATGCTCTTGAATTCAGTGCTCACTATAGGATGTCTGAGAGAGAGATAAGTATCAGTACTATATGAGTAATTACTCTTGATCTGGCCATCGTCGTGCTGCTGGTGGCAGGGCTGATGCCAGTCACGATGATGTGGTGGGCAGGAAAAGGAATTGCTATCATCGTCAGTCTTTGTCCGCAAGCCTCGCAAGTGTAGAAGCAGGCCCTCATAGCTCACTAGCGTTTCGGTGCTCCTTTACAGAAGAACCCGCGATCGAAGTGTGGTTTATGAACCCCTGGCAGAAAGCAGCTTGCACCGGATGAATGATGTGTGTTTATGCTGCATGCTGTCAATAATTGTAGGGTATGCGCTGCAGCCTCAGCCCTTAAATCCTATACATTACATCCTCGAAGCGAAACCCAACATTCAACACCCAATCAATGTCTATACGCCTCTAAGCAGTCTAATGTAGGGGCCTTGATAGTTATGACAGGGTTTCTGGGCCAATTAATAAGGAACCCCTCAAAACAGCATAGGTAATTATTCAGGCCCCTTCTCTTATAGAACCCTACTATTATAGATCCCTTATGTAGCCCTTTAAGGACCCCTTAAAAAAAAGGAATCCCTATTAGTAACACTCTCCACTTCTACCCCTTGGCCGCCCCTTGGCCGCCCTATTCCCTATAAACCCTAAACCCGAAGCCCTAAACCCTCAACCCTAAACCCTAAACCCTTAAACCCCTAACCCTAAACCCTAAACTGGGCCTACAAGTCCCTAAACCCTCAACCCTAACCCGGTGTACCCTGCGGTGGAAGTGGAGGACACCGAGCAGGAGATGACCAGAGGCAGATCCTCAGTTCGAACTTGCCAAGTGTGTATTTAACGTACTTAGACTAGGGTTCCTTCAAAGGGGTCTAGAAGTGCTACTATAAGGGCTCTACGAAGGGTACTAGAATGTAGGGGCCTTAGTAACTAGAATAGGGTTTTGGGGTCCATTTTTGCTATCATGAAACTAAGGACCCCCCAAAAAAGTATTGGTAATTATTAAAGCTTCTACTACAAATATACTAAGGAACCCACAAAGTAGTATTGGTAATTAATAAGGCCCCTGGATTACCCTTCATGTTAAGGCTTTGTCTGTGGATGACGGGGTTGGTAGGGGTTCCCTTTGGGTCTTATGACTACTGGGCCTTTAAGTAACCAGGGAGAAAAAGTATAAACTTTCATTTCATAATGGTTTTCTTAAGGAAAAATATTAAAGCATGATACTCCGAAGCCCAGACTATGTTCAGCAAAACCATTAGTAACTGTGGATGGTTTCCCACTGTTCAGCTGCAACAGGAAGACACCCAAAGAAACATGCTTATACGGGTACTACCCTAAGGTCAGGCATCAGAGGGGAGGGGCTTTAAGCTTAAGGACGAAAGAGAAGCGAGTGAACGGGTTGAAGTGCATTGGGGGAAGGGGGATATACCACGGAATACCATTGTAAACTATGGGAGGCTATAGTAAAACCGGCAAGCCCGGCCTAAATCCCTCTAAGATTGTTGAGAAAACTCCAAAAGCACAAACCCGAAACCTTTCAGCAGGGCTTTCAATGCTAGCGCCCCGAGCAAGCGGGCCACATACACACTCGCAGCTACAAAGCTCTGCAACCACAAAATAAAACACCTGCTCCAAGTTCTGCTCCGATCTTGGCCCCCAGCCACCGAATTTTTAATTCCCAAAGGGTCCAAGGATCATTCTGGTATATACTTATAGGTCATTTTGGGGGTCTAAGTATATACCATGATGATACTTGGACCCTTTGGGATTTCTTTGTGTCCACAAGCCACCGCATCCAAAATGTTCTTGTGTCTCGGTATAAATGTCAAATCTGAGCTGAAAGTCAATACCCAAATCCTCAAGTGCTTATATCGACAGGGGCTCGTCCGGGTCGTTCGCGCCACTATGTGCTTTCGTCTGCGCTGTGCTGACGCCTCCAATGGTGTATCGGAAAGTATCCAAGCACCCAGATCGTAATGGCATAGGGATTGAAAGCTGCAACCCTACTATTGGGTGCTTGGACTCTCCTGGGCGTTAATTTAAGTAGCCAGGGAGAACAAAGTATAAACTTGTGTTTCACAATGGTTCCCTTAAGAGAAGAATTAGTGTATGGTACTCCAAAGCCCAGTCTGTACCAGGTTACCTAGACTCCAAAAGCACGCGTGATCGGGCATCCATTGCCGACTTACAGGACTATGGGCACTTAGAAGACCCAGTGGGGTATAAGTACCCTAATAAGAGTTATCCTGAGATTATCTGTATTTCTAGCTTATATAAACCATATACTGCGCTGAATATCACCAAGATCCTAAACTCTATAACATACTTCTAGCTAACCTGCAGACAACTCCAAAGCCTCCAAGGCATGCAAAGGAAGTAGCAGCTTCTCGCATTGCACACTGTCTCTGAAGCGTAAGCATGCACTCCGAAAAGCAAATATGGGCAGGGGGGGCAGGCGCTTGCGCGAACCAGAAATTCCTTACTTTAACACTTCGGATTCTAAGTAGCTGTTTGCGGCAACCCTTACACTACGCATGTCGTATAAAGATACTTCATAACATTCGCACACTGCTCTGTTCAGTGGTTGTGCTGCCAGCACCTCGTGGGCGATTGCAAGAATCACGGAGAGTTCAGAGAATTAGGGTTGACTGATTTGATGGATCCGACACTTGCTGTCCGTATTGGGATCCCGTATGTCCGCCGAAGCCCGAAATAAGGACCAAACATAAGCCTGATATAGGGGCCTTACTATAAATGGGGCTTTAGGTTAGATTATACGGTATAAAAGTATAGGGACATGTTGGGAATAATTATAAGGGCACCACTAACCACAAAGCTGCAAACCTTAAGCCTAAATCGCTTCCCCCCCTTGAGGCACCCTTGCCTTCCTTCGGCATTTCCGCCAGGAGATCGGAGAGACCATGCAACAGCCGCATCACCGGCCTCTGATCAAGAACCTCCCAACTCATGCCCCACAGTATGGACTACCCCCCCCTCTCCCCCCAACTTGTATGGCCTTGTGAGCGGCCATGCATAAAGAAAGTTTAGTCACTAAGCTGTACGCTTCGGATATGGTGCTTCTGAGTCTTCTGAGGATTTAGGGCAGGACTTCAGGGTGTACCGGCGTGCGGGTTTGAGAGCCTGGTATCCAAGCTGCTCTTCGCAGGCCTCTTCAAGATTCAAGGCTCGGGAGGCAGTGGTTTTCATTGCTTCGACCAGGAACCACTAAACATATTGGGGAAAAATATTTTTCCCCAATATGTTTAGTGGGGAAAAAATATTTTTCCCCAATATGTTTAGTGGGGGAAAAATATTTTTCCCCAATATGTTTAGTGGGGGAAAAATATTTTTCCCAAATATGTTTAGTGGGGGAAAAATATTTTTCCCCAATATGTTTAGTGGGGGAAAAATATTTTTCCCCAATATGTTTAGTGGGGGAAAAATATTTTTCCCCAATATGTTTAGTGGGGGAAAAATATTTTTCCCCAATATGTTTAGTGGTGGAAAAATATTTTTCCCCAATATGTTTAGTGGGGGAAAAATATTTTTCCCCAATATGTTTAGTGGGGGAAAAATATTTTTCCCCAATATGTTTAGTGGGGGAAAAACATTTTTCCCCAATATGTTTAGTGGGGGAAAAATATTTTTCCCCAATATGTTTAGTGTATACGCGCAGCAACCTAAACAACAAACAGAACCTCCAGTGTTTATAGTTGGCTCAAGCTCTCTAAATCCGAGCCCGCAAACCGGCATGGGGAGTTGAGGAAGGAATGGATCCGTGATGGACGGCAGCCCCACGCCCAACTTCAATCCTAAAGCCTCCTAAACCCCAAACCACGAAATCTAGGTTCCTGATTCCTGAATAGCCCCTTCATAATGAGGGTACCCCTTTCCTACCATCCGGTTTTAGGGGACCCTAATAACAAGGGCAAAAGGGTACTACTCAGGAACCACGAAATCCTGGAGTGCTTGCAAGAAGGACCCCAAGAGGTATCCGGATTTAGAGAACTACCCAAATTCTAAGCCCCGTAAGCATGGAGCCCTGTATATAAATCCTGCACGACAAGCGACCAGGAGGTGAAGAAAAGATCGGAGTAGTCGTTCCTTTCCACCCAGCCGTGCACTTTCCTTGGATGCTAGGCAGTCGAAACGAAACAAACCCTACCCGAGAGATGCAATATGGCCAAACAAGGACAACCTGTCGACATTGCAGTATAATGGGGCGGAGGTGGGTCTTGCACATTTAAGCAGGGAGACATCCTAAGCCTTCTCACGGTTTAGGGTTTAGGGTTCAGTTCCCTGTGACCCCAAACCCTACAAAATAGAGGTTACGACGAATTAAGTGGATGGTAGAGCCCTTAAAACGGTAGGTTTTCGGATCCACAGGTTTCACATCCCTACACCCTCCATTGGAGGGCGTTTCGGGTTTACACTTTACACCTTCAGGCTTCGGCCGTCGAACTTATATAACCCCCATAATATAGGGGCCTTAATAAGTGGAATAGGGTTTTGGGGCCCATTATACTATAATAGCTATAATAAGAAACCCCCCAAAATAGTGTAGGTAATTATTTAGGCCTTTATAGTAACCCTCGACTTCAAGCAAACCCAAAAAAACACACGCCTTTTGTCGCTTAGCCCTTGTGGCTTCAGCTTTGGCGCCTGTAGGCTCTACTTGGAGGGTCGGGGGACTTAGTAAGTAGGTACTAAGTAGAGTTATAAGTACCCTAAAAGGGATCCTAATTGGGGTTATGGTACTTATAAGTCTCCAAAATAAATAGTTACTAAGTCCCCCGACCCTCCAAGTAGGTTGGAATTAAGCCTTCGAGACGTGGGGTACGGTATTGCAGCTTAAGCCAACTTGTGCACTAAGGCTTCGAGCGACCGAGTGACCAACTTGAGGATGTTGTTTTGTCCGAAAGCCTTTGTCCAACCAGTCCAACCAGCACAGCTCTTCTGCGTCACTCGCTCGCGGTGTGGCCAATTCCGCTTGGCAAGCAACAATGACAGACCAAAGCCGCACTCTCGTCAACCTATACTCGAGTTTTTGAGTGAGACAGTCGCAACCTGCTGCTTCCATTGTAACTTGGCAGCGGCAATTACTGTCTCATCATTCGTCCTACGATCGTTGCTTCGGTGAGTACCCAAAGGGTCCAAGCATCATGGTGGTATATACTTAGAACCCCAAAATACCCTATAAGTATATACCATAATGATACTTGGACCCTCCCTTCAATAGCTTCTTCTAAGTCCTGTAGGATCGGGAAGTCTTCTCCTGCTCCGCATAGACCCAACATGCGCACCCATATTCATTACAGCGCTCTTCTGATAGATAAATAGCTATGATTTTGAATGAAGTATAGTGTGAGTGTACATGTGTATATGGAAACGCTCGCCGCTAGCCCCTAAACGCAGAACCCTAAAACCCTGGAGCCCTGCACGGCCCTGCACCCTAAATAACGCAGAACCCTCAGCCCCAAAGCCCAAAACCCTAAATAACGCAGAACCCTACACCCTGCCCTAAACCCTAAATAACGCAGAACCCTAAACCCTAAACCCTAAACATGCCTCCTAGAGTCGCATCAACGGCCCCGAGAACTTCGCGTGCGGCAGCCCTGGCACCCTGTGATGCCCTCACGTAAGCCACCTGGGACTGTAGGATTATTATTGTTCATGGTTCAGGGGTTTCAGTATAGGGCTTGAGAGTTTGAGGTTTAGAGTTTAGGGGTTTAGGATTTACAAGGGTTTAGGGGTTTAGGGTTCTGGGTTTAGGATTCAGAGTTTCTGGGACACTATAATGTGGCACAGCTCTGTATAAGATATGTAAGGGCCTCTACAATTGAAATGGGGTCTTGCTCATATAATAAAGTAATCACAGTACCATACAGTACCGGTATACCAGGAACTCTATGGAATAGTGTCAGCAAGTATTCAGGCTTCTAAATCATTGAGTCTTGAGACAAGAGATAGAACAACAACCGAGCGAGCACATGAGAGAAAAAGAGAGACAGAGAGAGAGAGAGAGAGATGAAACCAATAGCTTGGCAAGTTAAGGTTTGATTTGACGCGTAAAGATCGACTAAGCGTCTTTGTAGGTCGGAGCCTGTGAAAGTCTTGATTCAAGAAGCTACTATAGGGGCCTTTAATGATTGGAACAGGGTTTTGGGGCCCTCCATACTACATTCATAACAAGGAACCCCCAAATAGTATGGGTAATTTTTAAAGGCCCCTATATTTTTCAAATTTCAGGGATGTTGAAGATCAGCTTTCCGAGCAGGGTTAAATACAGGTGTGCCATCGGTTGGACAAGAGAAACGGGGAAATCATCATAGCACACGCATGGTTTGGTCTTGAGGGGACACTCTGCTGAGGGTTTCCGGTTTGGGGCTGGCGACTGAACTGGGCTTTTAAGTAACCATGGAGAAAAAAGGTATACACTTGTTTTCATAATGGCTCCCTTAAAACGAGTATTAAAGTATGGTACTCCAAAGCCCAGTGAATGTACCGGCATGGAGCGCTTGGGAAGACGCCTCCTTAGGGATCTTTACAGGGCTTGTTTCGAGATTTCGAGGGCACCGGCGCTTTGGGATTTTTTTCGCTGCTGGATGGGCCGTTTTCGGAGGGACTTCAGGCTTGGAGGTTTAAGGTTTATTACTAGAGGGGTTAGTGTATGAGGTTACTAACCTAAAGCTTCCGAGACACAGCATCTAAGCGTGAATCTGGGCGGCAAGTACTGCGATTTGCCAAGCTTTCCGGAACCATTTGCAAGCCCTAAAGCTCGCTGGACGCAAAACCCCAAACTGTAAACTTTCGGCAGGTGAAGATCAAACTCTCAGGCACATCCTAAAGCCTTAAAGGCCCTAACCCTAAACCACCGAAGCGCTAAACCCTAAACCCTGAAAGGCCTTTAACGACAAGCACCCTAGCACAAAACAAAGAAGAACCCACCAGAGAAACTGAAACCACAACACCCAAAAAACCTAAAAACAACCCCAACCTTGAAGCCCTAACCAAAACCGAACAAAAACCACATAAAACACCCAGTAGGGGGCCGAATGGCGACAAGTGCAGCCGTCATCTGCCCGAAAATGGAGGAGCTCGCATAGCCTTCGGCCTCCTGAGGCATCGTGCATCTGCTCTTAGGGCTTTCGGGTTTAGGGTTTGGGGTTTCGGGTTTAGGGTTTCGGGTTTAGGGTTTGGGGTTTCGGGTTTAGGGTTTCGGGTTTAGGGTTTGGGGTTTCGGGTTTAGGGTTTCGGGTTTCGGGTTTAGGGCTTGTCGCGTTTAGGGTTTAGGGCTTTTCGGGTTTAGGGTTTCGGGTTTAGGGTTTAGGGCTTGTCGCGTTTAGGGTTTAGGGCTTTTCGGGTTTAGGGTTTAGGGTTTTTCGGGTTTAGGGCTTTTCGCGTTTAGGGTTTAGGGCTTTTCGGGTTTAGGGTTTAGGTTTTCGTATACCTTACGGGTCCATGTGGGTAGGTCTCTAAATTAGGGTCCCTTTTCCGGGGCCTTTTGAGAAGGGTGCCGTACCATTTTTGGTACCCCAATTTAGAGAACTACACTACACAAGTCCCCAGATACCAGGCAAGAGCCGCTGGAGCTTGTAGCAGAAGCCACGTCATAAACCCTGAAGAAATCTGAGCAACTTGTTCAAAGACACCCAGTCCACTGTCGGGCAGCCTGTCTCCACGAAACCATAAACCTTCAAATCAAGAAGCGTAGAATGGCGCAGAAGTCACTGTTGTGGAGACTTGGCATCGAAGGTAAAGCCATTAGGGGTTTAGAGCCTAGCACCCCGAAACCCCACTTCGCCCAACTCCTAAAGCCCCATCTAAACCCGCACACCCAAAGGCCTGCTGTCTACAAAGCTGCAGGTTCAGGGTCATTTTTTTTGGTGGTGGGGTCTAGAAGTAAACCCTGACCCCGGAACTCCAAAACTAAACACCAAAACCCCAATAAAACCCTACCCCCGACTAA